GTTATGTGATCGCCAGATGGTACTAGTAGTTAGCGGTTTGAACTAGAGTCCGTATATATAGTTACTTTAGTTACGCGTTCGTGCGTCCCAGCTTACAGTGTCCGTGAGAGTAAATGCACTTTTGCAACGTTCATGCACTTGGAAGTGGCGCAAGAAATCGGTGTTCGATAAAAGTTCATAAATAAAGCTATCAAAAATATTCTTAAACAAATATCATTTCGTAGAACTAAAAAAAAAAACAGTGTGGTATGTCATAAACTTATACGCTCTACAATTAACTGATTTTATTAGGAACGTACCGAATTTTGATATTAAGATATTAAGAACCGTGTTGTATTGTGTAGAAACTTTTTGTTCTAACTCAAGGGCGAAAAAGTTAGTCGTTATACGTTATAAGTGCCGAACGCTCAACCTATATAACAATGTTTTTTTTTTTTTTGTTCGTTTCTTGCTGACAAATTTGAAAACTTACTTGAAACCTTTTTTTTTTTTTTTCAAAAATGCAGCCGCTTTTGCAATTTTTGAGCGCACGGCATTGTAATAATATTCTTTCGATCGAAAATTAACATCCATATTTACCTCCATAGTTAATGAGCTTTGACACGGAACTGTAACGGCAAAAAGCAACGAAAGCACAATACAGTGAAAATAGTCACAGCCCATTGTTCCTGAGTGCACAGATTACATTTTGAGACGAGTATATCAGTGAGATAGACAAAAAGTCGCCCTTTTTCTGTACTAGCGTGGCAAAGGCAGTTCTATTATAGAATGTGATGTTTTAGCGTATAGAAACTGTGTACACATGCAGACACTTGAAGGCACGAAGCGGCCCTGTGGCGTGCATGCAAGGCAAGCGCGTGAGCGCCCCGTGGATATCTTACTTGGGGGTGCCATTTTCTGCAGTTGCAGTGCTAATGCGACTATCACAGAGCCTGTGTGAGTGTTCGAGGCAGTAGGCAGAGCATGCGGAAAACAGAACAATTGAGCCCGTAAGTGTGTCGTCACTGCACCGTACAAACCGTTGCTAAAGGCGTTGCCATGGACCAATACGTGGGACTAGATTTCGCTTCGAGAGAACCACCATTCAAAAAATCGGACGTAGAAATTAGACGTCTAAAAATAATAGATATGGGAAGCCTAGATTTCACTTTTACCACGACAGTAGTTTGCTGAGAATCGCCTGTTTCTTAAATATTTGCGAGGGCAACTTCCGGCCCTCGAGAAGTTTTGAGATGCCTGCTGCAGACGACGAACGCGTGCGGAATGACCGAAGGATATGCCGCCTGCAACAGTTTGAATCGCTTGCATAAATATACGATTTTGATTTTGTATTGATTGGAAACATGGAAGGGGGTTGGAGAAAAACTCATCAGTTTTATAAAAACGAATTACACTGGCGTACGATACGGGACATACTCTCTGGTGAAAATCATTACAGATGTGGAGATGTGCTAAAAATACAACGAAAGAAATATCTGACTAGAAAATGATATCAAAGCAGCGTCAGGTACTCTCGATCTTGCACTTGGTGTGCATTGTAATAAAAGAGAAATTATTGTGACTTAATTTAACGTGATCGGTTCGAGACCCCAAACTTCGTTTTTCAGGCTCGTAATGTGGATATGTTTCGTTCGTGCTTGTAACCATAAAACTGAGCAACACTCCCGCTGATACTTCCGTTTAAACCCGAAATAGCGAAGGAGCTGGGTAAAAAATTGGCAACGAGCTTTATCTTCAAGGTCCTATGATGCATGTAATGCAGTGCTTAGAAAGTAATTCCTTTATTTGCTAAAAAGGCTATATAGAGTGTAGTATAAATCACATCACGTCGTGTCACGGGACATCAATTATCCGCTAAATTTAGCGGGGAAACTACATTGGTGTATAGTTCACGTGACGTTAAGTTACGTGACATCAGTTTCCCCAGCCAAATTTAGCGGGAAACTAATTAGTGTACAGGTCACGGGACGTCAGGTCCCGTGACCTGTACACTTCAAGTCCCGTGACATAAATTTTCCAGCAAGATGTAGCAAGGAAATTAAATTGCTGTATAGGTCATGTGACGTCTATTTTTCCGCTAAATTTAGCAGTGAAACTTAATTTGCCTGTAGGTCCCGGGACGTCAGGTCACGTGACATAAAATTCATCGCTTAATTTAACGGAGAAACTGAACTCGTGTATAGGTCACGTGACACCAATTTCCCAGCTACATTTAGCGGGAAATGCACAGACGAACGGACGGACAAAACTTTGGGATTATGGGTAGCGTTAAAAAGCCTTTCATACATTAGAACATCATGGAAGTTATAAATCTGTTACGGAGACTTGGCATGATCACACAAATGTGCACTGAAGCAACTTCCGTGCCATCAGAACTCCTTGAAACGTGTGCTGGCTTGCACTTCTTGATGAACTTCAAGTCGCCGTCATGCGGGATTCGGCTTTGCAGCGTTTTCACACTTTTCAAATATTTCGGAAGCCTCCAAGGGTAGCCGTTCTCGCGCACCTTGAGCGTCATTTCAGAACTGTTCACGGGCACCTTTCGCTTCCAAAATCCCAAATGAAGCTGACCCAGAGACTAGAAGTTTTGTCGAGGGAAGCTAAATACGTTCTTGAAAAACTAACTAGAGGTAAATTCTAGCGTATTTTGTGTCCTGTAAATTTGAATATCAGAATCATTTGACCCGAACGTATCAACGGACGCGAGAAAAACCAAAAAACCAACCGCTGGGTGTGACGTCATACCCGGAGGAATCAACGGCCTTGCGCTTGCCGCTTGTGCGGGTAAGCGTGCTGTGTTTTTGACAGCTCGGGTAAGACTTACGGAAGGTTCGGAAATGTCGAGATTTCTGTATAATATGTCACAATTCTTTCCTCTTTTTTTATTCCCCGAACGTGCCAGAAATGGGGGGCTTCAGCGCAATTTTTAATATGCTGTTGAGGCAATTTGGCGCATCAATCTGAAGTATAATTTTGATATTTATGTTCCCAGGGACCAAATGGAGACGATTTAATTGTATTTTACAAATACAAAACCACTTCAGTTTTTTTTTTTTTTTTTTTTAACTTAGGTTAGTTGCCGTAATCCCTCAGAACTAACCATGGAACCCGCAAAGCCATCGTGTCGTCTACTAGTAAGGCAACATCGGTTATGAAACATTATTACGTGCTTTTATGGCTAATTTATGACACTGAGATGATAGAAAAGTGTTCATGATTAGATACAGAGAAAACACAATCTTTACAAAAACATACCTTTATCGGGAAAATTCTAACCTCACGTCGAGCTCCTATTCATTTGTCCATAACATTGGCCCTAGCAACGATTTGTTTGAAGCATAACGCTATATTGTGACATCATCACCTACAGGTTCTATTGGAACGCGACAGTGACAAACAGGGCCCTGGCACCAGCGCGCGACAAAAGTCAACCAAACACTCGGAACGACCTCAACCCGTTGCGGCAAAAGTTTTTTTTTTTTTTTTCTTTTTGGCTTTGTCTTGCGCTCTATCTCTGGGGAAGACCGGAGCGCGCTCGTTTCGCGGAGTTCCCCTCGACGGACATAACACGGAGGTACCGAGAAAGAGGTACGGATGGCACTGGTGTACAATCAGTGAGGAGGTGAGCGCCGCCTCAGTGTTCGGCTGGCAGTCGGAGTGTCGATTTCTGTTGCTGGCACCTAACCGGATATAAGGATAAGGATAAAGTTCATTTTCAATCAAAAACCGGTAAACAATTCAGGCCGCTTAGGCGTAGAACGCTTGTATGCGGGAAATGGCAGTAATTATATTTATCTTGTAGACATAAATATAATTCACAATTAAATTAATCACAAACACATACGGCACTTAACATCCTATATGATTAGGATAAAAAAAGGAGAGAAAAGTACAAAAATAGTACAAGCAGCTACGAGAGTTCACGTGCTATTAACAAAATTGCCAGCCATATAACTCATTCTGTGTGAAACATAAAATGATCAATGTATGCCAGGCACGTAGCCAGGATTTTGTTTCGGTGTGGGGGGGGGGGGGGGGGGGGGGGGGGCACCCATGACAAAATGCTGTATGAGGGAGTGGTGGGAGAGGAAGTCCCAGCAAAATGGAGGATTTTTTTTTGGGGGGGGGGGGAGCCGGGCCCCATGCCCCCCCCCCCTCCCCCTGGCTTCGTGCGTGATGTATGCTTACACTCTGAAAAATCAGGAGTATCTACTTTCTCACAAAGCACGTGGAGAGCCGATCACTGCAATTTACTGAGGGAGCTAGGTAAACAAAGAGGCTGGATATATTGTTGCGGATGGAAAAGGGTCGACGGCTGTGAACCTGCAAATAAAGGTTTAATTGGCTAACTTATGCCAGAAACAAAAGAAAGAACGGGCGTTCATAAAGCAGCAGGAAGCGACGAAAGTGGCGACATCGAGCGTCAACGTGTCGGCGCGACAGCTGGATAGTGCGATGGTGCGATAATGAACCGTCGTCGGGAGAGTGAGTCGGCAAGGTCACGCTGGGCTCCTTATCTGCTGCACTCGATATCTCGAACATTCGTCCTAGAATGTTGGAGCGTCGGACACTCGTGAAACTGACTCGGCAAGGACCTCTTGACCTCCTTATCTACTCTCGGTATCAAAAGCATTCGGCCTAAAATGTTCGAGCGTCCAATATTTGGGGTAGAGTAAACGCGGCCATGCACGCGGCACTAACTTTCAACCCCAAAAAAACTGTCTGCGCGTTGACACTGATCCTAAAATCTTACCATGTGACACTACACAGATTGGTTTCTTAGATCTAAAACTATTTTCAACCTCGTCACTCGCCCTGCTTTCTCCGTCGATAGCATTGTTTTGCTCCCTTGAGTGCTTTGCGGGAATGTAGACGCAGTGATGTTTTAGAGTGTTATATAAAAATTGACCTTTCTACGGATCTCCGGAACAAAGTGGTGCTTACTTATGACTCTATTTCACGAGTAATGTTTAGAAGAACGCTATTCTTTGGTGTTGCAGTTGCGTCGGAACTGAACAGGAGCTCATCGTCAGACCAGAGTGCCTACGCACAACTGCCCAAGTTGGCACCGCCACAGGACGCCCTGGAAAGCCTCGTCGAGGACGCGCTGCAATCCGGCAGGCTTCAACCGGGTTCCTCGTCCAAGACGCTTTTCGGAGAGTTGCTGGGCATGTGCAGGCACCAAGCACCCGTCACATTTAGGGTTATGCTCAACGAACTGTGAGTGACTGCAAGCACGGTTTTGCATATGCAACATTCCAACCAAGGAGGTTATAATGGGCAGGATGTGGCGTCCGTGTCCTCCACATATGAAGCGAGGTATAACGGAAGTAGGTGCAGCGCAAGTTCGTTTTTCTCTTGTGTAAGAGTTGCAGTGACGTTAGGACGCGCCCAGCTCTGGTTGAATCTAATTGGAAAGATAATGGGTAGACTTCAATGCTATAGCTGCCTTGAGGTCTACCCACTATCCATTCAATCGGAGACAATCAGAGGCCGGCATTTTGACGTTACCGCAGCCCCTACCAAGAAGCAGACGAACTTGAGCTCCGCATGGGATTGGCCACAGTGTCCCCCCACTCTCTCAGCATTGTCCTACTGTTGTCTTTTTCTTCGATTTTAAAGCTTCTTAATTTTTCCGCACCACAGACTCCGATGTTATATTATAATTAATAATCACCAGCTCACCTGCACACTCACCGTTATTTAGGCATTTAAGTTAACAGGCGCCACCATGTAGATATGGGGCAACATGGCTGTTTTCCCTATATTTACATGGCGGTGCCCACTGAATCGTGTAACAGGTGAGATTTGGAGCCGAACTCTTGTCTGGCCAGTAGAAAGTCGGCGTGTGGCGGACACTCTAGACACCGCGCCTGGAGCGTGGCCTGGGGCGAGTCGTCATAGCGCGGCTTTAGAAAGCGAGCATATCAGGCGCCGTAGACGCGAACGCTGAAGATGGTTCCGGGATGAGAAAGCTGTAGAATCCCTGCTTCCAGCACGCTCTCGTTGCCTTACGTCGTGATGAGGTTGCGCGTGCGTATGTAGACTTTTTTTGTGCGCTGATCGTATTGAAAGTTAGCCGTGACAGCGAGCTGTCGAAGCAGAACACGGGCACGGTGCAGATGTAAACTAAGCCTAACGTGGCCGACGAAGAGACGAGCAGACGATAAGACTATAGCGTCGGTGCGCAAGGCAGTCTGAGATTGATTTCCTTTTCCGGCGTCGCCAAGCATGACGTCATGCCGGGTTCTGGGGTATGTAAACGTCCTTGATTTCAACGTTCACAAATTCACAGCACAGCGTGTGATCTTCAGAGCCCAGCTCGCGCGCGTTCGTCACTTTGAAAAACTGCCAAACCACGCACCATACGTACGAACGCTGAAAAGGGCCACGGCCAGAAGCTCGTCATTGGAACGGTTTATCAGCAATGTGCGCGACCAAAAGCGTCGCTGCGGTAGGCTTCCCGCGACTGACCGAACGACGGGCGGAACACCGTCAAACTCTAAAGTCCGACGGTGTTGTTTGAAGAACGCGATGGCTCCTATAGCTTCCTAAATCGTGTTTCATATACACACTACGAAACTTGTCGTAGCAACCGATGACACGTAGCCAGAATCACAACTTGTGACGTCACGGCAATGGGAATCCTAGTCGTGAAGTCACAGATGGAAACCAGAGAGTCGCGGTGTGTTTGTGGCGTGTTTCTTTCTTGCCCATAACGGTCCTGTATCATTACTCATAAAAAGCAGTCTGGGGGAGTTTCGGAATTAAGTATGACGCAAACGTTCTTCGAATATATGCATGGGGCATGCCCGTAAATAATTATGTCATCACGCCTGCAGCGAACACTTTGTCCTTTGTATACCATCCATGAGCAGCGTGACTCTCAGGGCTCATTTCGGCACTACGCCAAACAGAGCGAAAATGACGAGGAGGTGTTTCAGTTGTCCTGTTTCCAGCACCATCTTTTGTAGCTTGGATAACACTTGGGTAACAATGAGGGATTTTATCTATCCACCTTCCTTAAAAACAAATTATAAATAACACCGAACAGCCATATTTCCCGTAGTTTAACTGATCTGCAATTTATTTTTGTTTGTTTTTTGTCTTGTATAAGCTTAGCTTTTGTACGCTTAATATTTTCATGACCATCCAGTCTTCAATGACTTGGTCTATCGAGGAATTTAGCCGAAGCATTTCATATTATGGGCTCAAAACCACTCTTGGCTTAACCACCATCTTTTAAGTTTACGTCTGGGACGATCGTTTAGGCTGTCCGCATCCAGCACAACCGGGATTTGTATACCTGAAAATGTTTGATTGGACATTCTTTACAAAGAAAATATTCGTGAGCTGTTCACAACCATAGGCGAAATTCCGTCTTTTTATATCTTAATTTTGAATATCGGTTTCATCCATAAAGACCGACGAAACGAATCGGCCTCCAGATATGGCGAATCAACGGCATTAAAGCTCTACTTACTGTCTGTGTATTTATATACTCTCCAATACAGAGGAATCGACGGCTGCATAAAGCTGCGGGAGAGTTGCCACTCTGAAGTTTTCCGCATCAGTGGCATCCGGGGCACCGCAGTTCTGAAGGTCGTTCACATCGAATACATAGTCCGACACCTTCAGCATTTGGTCAGCGAGGTGAAAGTCGGTCTGTAAGTGCCGTTTAATTGTTTAACATCGTAAGATCATTAAAGTTTGCCACCTTATTTGTTTTGTTTACCCATTTAGGCTGGTACGGCCTAAAATTCCACCCATATCGAGAAGGGATTCGACACAACGCATCCTGAATTTAAACGACCCTCTAGGTAACCCCAGTTTTAGGCCGTGTTGTCTCATTGTGTTCCCTATGTGGCATACAGGGGGATAAACAAACAACATTTAACTTGAGGCCGCCCAAGTGTTAGCTTAGAGATAAGGCTTAGGCTGGTCTTGGGATTAGCAGGGTCGGCTTGACAACATTAATACACTGACTATGAGCCGACTGAAGGTAGGAAACGCAATGAAGGCTCCAATCCACGCTGTGAAGGTGGTCTGACAGCGAAGCTGTGGTATCCCCTGCACCGATTTCTCACTGCACTATAGACCCTTTTTAAGGCAAACGCCACCAGGTGGTGCTATAGACTTTGACATCCCAGAGCCGTATATTGGGAGAGTTTGGACAATGGGCGGAGCAAAAACCGCCACCAGCGCCGAAAACTGCCCCCGCAGTTAGAACGTAAACTAAAGGTACGACACAGCGTCAACCAATCAGGAGACCGCGACGTTACAATATTGCAAACGGCATTTAAAGCGTGAAATAGAAGCGTTCAATATCGGCCTCTCTACTCCATCTCACAAATGTCTTCAGTAAAGACAAAGGCACAGGCGCGTCAGCCTAGCTCAGCGAAATGCTTTTGTTTGTACGAGAACTCATGCATAGGAGGCACTTTCCGAAACCACGCGCTCGTGCCCATGGCTTTGTCTGAACTGCTGATGTTTGTGTAGATGGAGTATCGGTGACATTTTGCTCTGGGCCGGCCTGCTAGAACAGCGTCTAAGCTGACACTGGCTGAAAAAAAACAGTGCAAATGGTGGGGCGCGCGAGCGTCTCGAGGCGCGGAGTCCCGCTCGGCTCGTGCGCTGGCTTTGGTAGTGTTTTTTTTTCCCCCTTCTCAGGTGAGACGCTGTTTCTATACTTCGTTTCACCTTATGTGCGAGCAAAGGCAAAGCTGGAAGCGTGAGCACGAAAGCTCCGTGCGTTCGGGCTTCGCTCGAGCGCGCGGTCTGGGCAGAACCGCTGGTCTCGCGCTTCTAGCTTTGGCTTCGCTCTCAGATACAGTGAAACGAAGTATAGCAAGTCTGCCCTGGTTTGGAGCGCACGTTCGTTTATTCTACACTTGAATATTGGCGTGACGAAAACCTCACACGCGCAAAGTTTTCAGTCACCGAGAGCTAAACTTTTTCACTCTAGCGACGCTAAACGGCTTGAATTAGTCGTGTCACATATTTAGAACACACGATCACCACTAGGGGCAGTTTCGCGGCCCGTAGTTGGCCCCGAGATGCTCGCCTATTCAAACCAATGTATGGCCAAACTCTCAATAAACGGCTCTGCGACATCCCAGAGAACTTCCGGTTTATAAAAGAATGAACGACGAGTTGCCATAGCAACGAGGTCACCTTAACCAATACCCCTTAACTCCGCTGCTTGAAATGTAGATGAAACGTTTAACCAGCAATTCTCCAGGTGAACGCCAAAAGAACAAAAGAGTCCGAGACCTGTTAAAAGGTTTCGAGCATTCTTGTAAACCAACTTGCCTCCTCAATAATGTAATATTGTACAGCCGAAGGCCCTCGTTAAATCTCCAACTTTGTTGTCCGTGTAGCATTTATGGTCTCTATCACTGTTGGCATAAGCGAACTCAACAGGCTTGCAAAGACGCTGCGACCGGAAGTCGCTTGGGACGCAAGGGGCAGTTTGTTTGTAAACAGAAAAAGGGTCTCTACAAAATGATTAACGAAAGAAAAGTAAATGGACTGTACCAAAACTTTTTTTATATGAAAGGTTTCGTACGCTGTCGTTGCCGCAGCAGCTTATGCAGCCGCAATCTTTACCGAGAAAAACATCCGGGGGGCGCTACGTGCGTCGCATTGTTAGCGGGGCTAGTGACGTCACTCCCCACTTAGTACTCTGCCGTGGCCACGGCAGCTTATGCAACCGCAATTTTCACCGCGAAACGCATGCGGAAAGCGCCACGTTCTTATTATCTATCACGTGGGTTTGTTATTGAAACAAGTTTGAAAATCACATGGTAAGAGATAAGGCGCGCGTGGATGGCGATAAGGCGTGCGCGTGGATTTTCTGTCGACCACTTTATCTGTCGACTATTGTTCTGTCGTCGGACAGAAAAGAGCTCAACGAACAAGTCATACACAGCTTCGCTGTAAAATAAACGTCTCAGTCGAGAGAGAAACCACTGTCCACAGCTATCAGCTTTCCTTAAAAATTTATAATTTACTCGTAATGGAACCTGCGGGCATCTCTCCATGACGGGCCACATAGGCTCTAGTGTGCATATGACGATGTGTTTAGTTTATAGGGCGATTAACTGATTGCACCAGCATGGGCTTGAGAATCGTTCCCTTCTGACTAAGATAAATTCGGCAAGATATCACATATGCTTTCCGCTCTTCCGTTTGGTTGTCAAAATTCTGGCTTAGAAAGGGTTTTCATCGCTTTGATAGGCGTTTAGTGTTCTCAGGCTTACGGACGGGTGCCCATGCGGAGCGCAATTTAGTTTGCTTTTTGCACAGGGGTTGCGATGTTGTCAGAACGCCGAGCTCTTATTGGCTGATTGGAAGTCAATAGTTGATAGACCTCGAGGCATCTAGCATTGAGGTCTATACCCACTATCCTTTAAATCAAAGCCAATCAGGGCTCGGCGTCGTTCTGACGTCACCGCAAGCCCTGCGCCGCGTTACTAGATTACCTCAGTTGTGGAACTCCCGCGGAAGGGGGACCCCCCCCTCAGTCACTTCAGACCACCTCCCGTCGTTTGAAGCGTCATCTAGATTTTCGTTTCATAACTGTGTGTTCCACAAGGCACGAAGAGCTGGAACGCCATCTAGACGCTGTGCTTCGAAACGTACGTATTCCATAGAATAAACTGCAGTTACCATAGCGGCCGTCCGGCACGTCGAATGACGCGAGGTGGGCGAGTCGTGGTGAGTGAGAAGGGGAGGAGGGGGGGGGGGGGTACTATTCGTGCATGCAGCGTCTATGAACAGTTCTGTAACTGAGCTAATCTAATAACGTTGGCCCTGCGAAAGAAGCAGGCGACTTGCTCTCCGCTTAGCTCTGGCGGCACTGCCCCAGAAAGTTGCCTTCAAGCAACGGAATTTCGCCAAATTCCGCGCGGGAGAGCGGCGAATCAGCTCGCGATGCTGACTTGTCCATCTCCATTTGGTATGCGCTGGTCCGCCGAGTCTTTCTTCGTCCCCAACTAGGTTCGGTCTGAATGCCCCTCAATGTGTGACCGGGTTCTTAAATTGAGCTGGAAAACACAACCTTCGGTAGATTAAATACAGTTGTCGAGAATTCGACGAACACCATTGACTTTCGCGTGTATCGAGTTGAGCCGCCCTAAAAATAATGTCATTGCATCGCACTTCTTACGACTACTAGCAGTTCCGAGCGTGGCCTCTGGCACAGCGAAAAAACCTACGCAGCTGAGTACGCCTTCTTGTTTTCACACATGATGGTAAAGTAGGTCACGAACTAGAATAAAGTGTGCTCTTGCGTTCTGCAAAACTATGCTACATCATACATGAGTGACGGTCTTGAGTTCGTAAGAGACCGTGGAGAGTGCCGAGAAGTTTTGTATCCCTACATTACCTTCAAATACTGTTTATTCTAAAAAACAGTGTTTGAAACGTCGGTGCCTACATGGATGCGACTTTTGCTAATTTGGTAAACAAGTGCAGAACTTTCTTATGCCACCAATGCGTTGTTGTAGGTTCCTGAAGGACCTGAGAGGGAATCCCGATAACCGGACGGCGGGATTTTCCGAACTTCGCGAGTGAGTTTTTAGGCATAAACAAACTAACTTAACAAATGACGTGTTTGAAAACAACTAGAAAAGAAACGCATGACGCTGATTTGTTTCTTTTACAGTACGTACTGCATCTGGGACAAGTATCCAAGCGTCCTGGACCACGCCTGCATGGTGTATCATAGCAAGAAAAACTTCTCGCTTTTCGGAGAAGGTACACTGTGATTATAGTCCACTAACAATTTGCCAAGCAACCAATTATTTCAGTACCTAACAACAACAAAAAAAAAGCAGGGTGTGGCGGTCCTCTTGCATCTTATTATCGCTCCGCAGAACACAATAAATTGGCAGATACCTTTACCATCATATTCCGTTAATACATGATATGCAATATATGGAATGGGTGTATCACGCGACGTATATTTTCTCGCTAAATTTATCGGGGAAACTGAAATGTTGTATAGGTCACGGGATGTCATGTCGCGTGACGTCGATTTATCCCGCTATATTTAGCGGGGAAACTGGATTGGTGTCTCCGTCATTAGACGTGAATTTTTCCGCTGAATTTAGCGAGTGACTGATTCGGCGTATCGGTAACGTGACGTCAGGTCACGTGACATCAATTTTCCTGCCATATTTAGCTGAGAAACTGAATTCGTGTGTAGGTCTCGTGATACCAAGTTTCACGCTAAATTTAGCAGGGAATGCATAAACAGACGGATGGACACATTTTTGGGATTGGGGGTAGCGTTAGAAAGCAATTTCTGCTTTAATAAGCAACGCTCTGCATCGCTTATTGGGTTGTGCACCGCCTATTGTGTTGTGTGTCACTTAGTGTGTTAGGCGTCGCTTATTGTTGCGCCCCGAGTTTCTTAAGCCATCAATAACTATACTCCGCGACAACTTTTCTTGGCAGTGCAGTGGAAGGTACAGGCCCGCGTCCCCTCTCCCATCTTGAGTGTGCGCAGGCTCTCCTCCTCCCCCATTTCCGGGGAGAGGAGAGCCTGCGTACACTCAAAATGGGAGAGGGAACGCGGGCCTGTACCTTCCACTGCATTGCCAAGAAAAGTTGTCGCGAAATAGGTTTTTTTTTTTTGTTTTTTTTTCTTTTGCATACAAGGAACTGTACTTGTAATATTATTTCAGATATCAGAGATCTACACCGGCCTTATTTTGTCATGTGCATGTCTTATGCTGGGCAGCCTCTCGTCAAGGCACAGGTGAGTTAACTTTATGATCAGTTTAGTGATGGGACGTAATGTCATTATTTGCACGTGAAATAAGCACGTTTTTATTTTCGATTGCTCCGAGGAGTGCATACTTTAAAATATGTAGGAATAAAATATCTACGCTTTTACTTATTGCCGTCGGAACAAAAAAAGAAAAAACAGAATAACACGTGGCGCGTGTTTGATAATTTCCTAAGCAGTTGATGCCCTGGAACACGAAAAGAAAGAGTTTTTGTGACTGGAATCAAAAAATAAATTGAGCACGCGTACATGAAAAACTTAATCCCTCCTCACAATATGCAGATTTAAATAAATGTATTGAACTGTCTCAACGAATCTAGATATATATATAGAAAGAGTGACACCCAGCGCAGTGTTTGAGAGCCATTGAAACAAATAAAGGCACAATCGCAGCTCTATGTTTTGCCTGAGCAAAACGCACCTTATATATATGAATCCTCACAAAAACATGGATAGTCCTTAACTTCATATATATTTGATACTTTGATTTTGCTCAAAATGTAGAGGTGCGGTAAAATAATAAGAGAAAAATAATAAAAATAAACTATAGGGACGGTCATCAACTGCATCGTTGCGCTCAGTTTTAAAGTTAATTGTTAATATTGCTAATATAAAAAAGTTGTATTTATAAAAGCTACTACCTCAAGTTGAAGTATCTGCAACAAACCTTCTGCATTTAAATACCTATTTTTTAATTGTTCACTTTTGATAAAATGTGTTGTGACCAGTGCTCGGCAATGCTTATTTCCTGAGCTATATGCTTCTCCACAATCCGTAACATAAATATGAAAAATACCTGGAACACTTTTGACAATTCCAGTTCGACAATTCTCTTCAAGTTCGTTCTGTCATCGAGCAAGTGGCCATGGCACTGGCCGTGGGCGAAACCGCCGTCCAGTTTGAACACCGTGGACTCACCACCGATCACATTCTAGTGAAACCGAGCCACGACCAGCGCACCCAGTACTGCCTCATGAGCAACAGCGTCTTTATCGACATGCACGGTGTTGAGGCCAGCATTGTGGACTTCTCAATGTCCCGTATGTGTCTCACACCCGGTAAGGCCTCACCGTTTTTTTTGTTTTTTTTTAATTTTATTTTTATTTTTGCCTTACGTTATTTTTACTGTATTTTGAGAGGTTAACCTGTATATACAGCGAGGCAGACGTCATCATGTGTTTCACCACTACTCAACAAACTGCTATACAGTGTGTCTTTATTGTTAGTAAACCCAGAATTGAAAAAAATAAGAGCTTGCGATGGGGACTTTAGGCCTGGAACAAAGCTTGTGGTCATGGAGCTTACTAGAAATAGAAAAGCGAACTGGGTCAATACATAGCCGATTCACTAAAAAGCTTCGAGCAACATTGTGATTTCCATTTCGGGGGTAGTTCAAGTACTGACGCTGGAGTTCAATAGGGTTTTACCGTGGCTGTGAAATCTTGGTAAAAAGTCATAGTGGGCCCCATGGAGCAAGATATATCACCCTTGTACATGGCCTCGGACCGAAACCAATCGCATAAAACGCTCCAGGACCAGAAGAACTAATTAATAAACGAAGTCACTTTCCGAAACTACCACGGAACTCAAGGCTAAAATCAGTCAAAAAAGGTGCGACATTTGATTGTGTGAGCCCCCTCAAAACGCACAAGTAAAAGTAAATGTGAACATAAAACAATTGTCTGCGACCTTTATTTCTCAAGTCCTATGATGCATAAAATGCAATATTTAAGGTCCGATCGTTTACAGTTATTTAGAGGATATTTTTCCGTCGTTTCGAGGGGTGACTGAAAACTTTTATTTTTTATCGATTTCCACGGTACATTGAGCGAAAAAAGTGGTGCATAGGGCGTCAATTTCCCCACGAAATTTAGCAAGGGTATTACATTGGTGCATAGGTCACGTAATGTCAGGTCACGTGACATCACATTTACCATTTAATTAAGAGGGGAAGTGACTGGGTGTAAAGGTGACGTGACGTCAAGCCACGTTACGTCAACCCTCCCGCCAAATTTAGCGGGGAAACTGAATTCGTCTATAGGCCACATGACGTCATGTCACATGACATCAATTGACGTCCCGTGAACTAAGCATTTAGTTCCCCTTCTAAATTTAGCGGGAAATACAAGAAGGACGGACGGACCGACGGACGGACCGACGGGCGACCATTTTGGGATGGGAAGTTCAGATAAAATGCATTTCCTACTTTAAAAAAAGTAATCGGGTCAGCTGCCCTTTTATTTGTCCATAGAAAATAGAATCAGGAAGAAGAGGGAAAAAATATGTGGCTGTAGGCTCCGCATAATCATCAATACTTGAAAATAAAAAGAAACGCTTCATCCAGCCTCTTTTTATTTTATTTTTTTATTGACAGTGTTGTTGGTTACAGATGCCCAACCGCTGTACTCCGACCTTCACAGGGTGGCAGATGACAAAAGATGCACTGAGGGCGAATGTTTCCTCAAGATATATGACCTTGTGCGGTGAGTGGTTCTATCAGAGAGGGTCTTGACAGAGATGAGTCTATAGTGACACAGACAGATGCGCTAGGCTCGCAATGCTGGTTCTCACGAGCGCCAGCCTCTGCCAGCGCTCGTGGCTTGGGAGCCAGGAAAATAAAGAGAAAGAAGTTGACTCTAGCCAAAGCTCTGGTTCGGACGCCTGCATTTTTCCTCCGGCGTTTATAGAACACCGCCGACAAATTGGTGACCCGGACGTCCGACCAACATGAACCAGAGTGCTGGTGGCGGCTCTGCCAACGGCGACGGAGCTTTCTCCACCGTCCAACTCCGCCTTCCAGCCTTCTGGGCGAAAAACCCTCGGGCCTGGTTTTCCCAAGTGGAAGCGCAATTCCACCTGCGGCACATCACAAGCCAGAGCGCCCGCTACTACCATGTGGTTTCTGCTCTTCCCCCAGAGGTGGCTGATGAGCTGGACGACGTACTGGCGTCTCCCCCTCCCGACGACACCATCACGGTCAACATCAACGGACGTCACGATGTGGTCACGCTGGACCGCGTGAAACCTGCCTATTTAGCTTCCTCCGTGACAAATCCTGTCGTTTTCCCGCTTGAACTGTCCAGAACAACTACCCAAGTAACCAACACCCCCCAACCACCTGGTTCCAAAAAGATCGTTACGTGGAGCACAACCACAACTAGTCTATACCTTCAACATTCCCTGGAGGAAGATTAAGGCAGGTTCGCACACTGGTGGCAACCGAGTGGGTTTTTCAGCATTGTGCAGCCTTCCGACCAAAGAACACAGACACACGCTGGCTTCATCTATTAAATAGGCATTGAACTGCAATTAACTAGAGGGAATGTTTTCCAATATCTGCGGGATCAAACGTACCTGCTATGTACGAGGAATGGTCGCTTATAGCACTAAAAAAGGTCTTCAAGCTTACAAGAAAAAATAATGCACAAAAAAAAAAAAAAAGAAATATATGCCAATGAATAATGTTCCAGGGCTACCCGATAGATGGCTATAGACGCTTTACAGCAGCTGTGCATGGGCGCCGCCATAACTGACCTTCAGTTTTTGTTCCCTCTTATTCCGTTCGCTTCACTTCATCATTACCACAGCAGGACAGGTTATTGCCATTTTAGATGCTACTGTGTTCTTGTGCCCAGCATAGGCCCTTGTGAAGACCCGTCAACGCCCGCTTCAGTGGCTCGGCATCTCGGTAAGACAGGAGAAGGGCGGCTATGGCGGCTCAATCTGGCGCGTGTGTAAAGCGTCTATACTCGTTTTCACCCCAAGAAAAAAAATTTTCGCATTGTCCATACTCCGCACAAAGTAGTTCTAACAAGATTTGCTTGTCAGAGGAAAAAGCGGTGCTCTTTTGGCCTTTGAAATATATACGTCTTGATAAGGCAACATATCTAACCTAAAATGCACAGAGATATGTTTTAGTTCTCCACATAAAGAGTGAAATTAGTAATGCTCCACGAGGAGCCGGACTTTTTTTACTGCAATTCTTGAGGTGAAAACAACCATAATGTATTTTCTCGTCGTGAGTGCAGGGCTCCATAAGGCTCCACAACACACTCCGCTGCAATCAAACCAAGTCTAAAGAAAGAAGCAACCGGTGAAACGTTACCTATCGGTCACTTTTTTTCAGGAGTCGAAGGCTAAGTTACCGTTGGATATTTTATCTACTGGATCAGAAGCCTCATATGATCTCGTGACAATTTGGCTCGCTAAAGTACGGCTGTTTGCGAAAGAAGCCACGCTACACACTGTGGACACTGGATTGGTGCGGATGACGCGTAGCCTTGGCATCCAACTTTGTGGATTTGTTCTGATGTTTAGAAAACCAATCGCGTTACAAATAAAGAGCCGCAGTTAAGGCTATAAGAACGGCACTTGTAAGTGTCGGATGCTTATGTGAACAATTTGTTTCCTCTTATCTCGAACTTTAGTTTCTGGAAGTTTGCGGTAATAAAACATAAAATCTAATTGCGACATCTCTGCTTCATTATCAAGCGAAAATAGATCGGGGAGCGCGTGGCAGGTACAGATAAATGACGGTCAATGAGGAGCTGAAAGACCGGGTGCTACTGATACAAGCGGCGTATGCAGACCAAGTGTTCCTAGCTGACAGCTTGGCTTCTGTGTGTATATCTGTCCGCAAATGGAAAAAGTTGCGTAAAACTAACAAATGAACACTAGTGGCGAACGTTTCTACCATATCCGCAAAAACGATGACATATGGAGATTCCAGAAAGGCAAAGACGCAAGCGTTTTTTTTTTTTTGTTTTTTTGTATACCCTTTATAGAAGCTATAAATATTTTAAGAAAGTTTCAAAAAATATATTCTAGCGAGAGTTCGTTTTAGTTATCCTCCACGTCAGCGTTAATTGAAAATTAGCTAACCGAAGCTCGAGTTTTCAGTCTTCCAGATTACCAAAGACCCATCCACAGAGGCAGTTTATGGGGCGGGACTAAGGACACGGTCGCCAGAGGCATTTTATTTTTAGAGAGAGAGTGAATTAAAAAATATTTCTTCAATTTCTTTGTCTCCGAGCAAATCCTGTACAGCCGCCTGAATCTTCCTCGTCCAATGGGTCTTTCATATCGTTGGAGGCTGTATATCCAAAGTGCTTTCGCCATCGTTCACAAAAACAAAACACACTTCTAAGTCGCTTTTATTATTTTTTTTATGCGTTCATTGCATCATTAATGTAGATCTAGTTATAAATTTTCAGTGGGCTTCATGGTGCCGATTGGTCTGCAGGGATGACCTGTCCAAGTTCCGCCCGTGGACGAACGTCATTTTCCTCAGCGACGCGGTCAAGCAACTTCGTCTGATGTACCAAGACTGCTTCTGCCATCCGAAGTCCGAAGCCGAGTCCCACGCGTGGCGAGACGTGTGCTTGTGGGCCGAGGAACTGCTGAGCTTTAGCAGCGTCACCGGCTTCGTCCTCGCACGGGTGATTCCGAAGGCACACTCTTCGAGCGAGAAATCTCGTATGGACTTCTATGGGATGTAGAGCTCACTCGCCCCATAAATAATAAAAAACAGTAATACAAGGGTTTCGCGGATGAAACACGTGCATATCTCAAATGCTAGTTATTAAGTGACTGTGGGTGTGAATACCATTGAAGCCGCCACCGATAACGTAGCCAGGACTTCTTTCTTAGGAAGTTGGAAAGTGGAGTTGGGGGGGGGGGGGGGGGGGGAGGATGGCTGATAACTCCATATGATTTAGGTATTGCGGTGGGAGGGGGGGGGGGGGGGGGGGGGCTAACGGCGGGGCCTGGTTACGCCCCAGCCGCTCCGTACCCTTTCGACACAAGTGTACACCGTTCCAACTTGGAACGGTGTATATTGCATCGACCTACTTGGAACTTCCAAGTAGAACGGGAAAACCACTCTCGAACCAGAGCGCCGCGCCAACGCTCCGCTTACCCTTTCCCTCGAAAGCTTGTCTGCTTCACGAAGTGGACTGTTAGAAAGCACGTGCGCAGTGTACGCAGGCAAGTTGCTTCGATAATGTTAGGCGCCGCTTTGATATTATGGCGTGTTTTTGCGCGTGACATGGCCTATGCAAGAAAAGAATCGACCGGGCAGCACTGTGCTGTAATTGGTTGTACGAATAACCAAAAAAAAAAAAAAAAAACGTAAAATAAACGCCGGTTCAGTGCGCGAGACCCACGCTGTCAAACAGGATGAATGTGGGTGCGGCATGTTTATGCTGCACCGGTTCCCCGCTGCTCTGGACCTACGACGCCGGTGGCTGGCGAATTTAAACAGGAAAGACTTCTTGCCATCGAAGAGCAGTCGTGTGTGCTCCGACCATTTCTTGGACGGTCGGCGAACTGTGGAGAACCCCGTGCCGTTCCTTCGCCTGGGCTACGACCGAAAAGTAAGCGGGGCGGCTTAGACATTGGAAAGAAAAAACAGTTGCGTGACTCCTGGTCTACTGATTTAATAGTACACGCCGCGACACAGTTTGCGCACAAATAATTCTCACGCGAGGCGATTACAGAGAGGCACATAAAAATGTGCCAGTATTGTGACAGCGGATTCCAAATCGTAAAAAGAAACCGGATCCGTCGCACTTGATATATGTACTCGGTATTTATATATCGATTCATAATTAAATTTGAGTTTTCTATGATTTCAATTAAAGCAGACGAGGCAGCGCAGGTCTGAGCCGCTAACCGCGCAGTCAGTTCAAATGTTCGCGGAGCCCCCAAGTTGCGACAACTCGAGTTTAGCGCAAATTCACATGCCGTAATTCGTGCCATCCTGGCTTCGTTCAATCCTCAATTTCACTAGCGATCCTCAGTTTCACTAGCGATCCCCAATTTCGCTAGGCGATCGAAACGGCGAGTTCGGTTTGGGAGTGACAACTGCCCGCGCTAAAATTCACCCACAAAAAGATGCCAGGAAATCAGGACGTATTTTCCCCATGCCTAACATACAAATTAGGATAGTGCTTTCCTACATAGATGAAGACGATGAGCCGCGGACGCCGAATACGGCAGCCGTGCCGGCAGAAGCAGCTGCGATCGGTGTGACTCGGTGAGCAAGGTAACAGTCCAGTAATGGCGGTCGGTCATTCGGGCGGGCTCAGATTCTTCCAAATGCCCGGATGAGGGTAGGCGGCGCTACACTCGTTAAAATGGCGCCGGCTAGGAAGCCCAGCTTGGAACGGTGTATAGTCATCGATAATTTAAGGAACGTAAGGAGTGACGAGTCCCCCGCAGCCAAGGAAGCAACAAGTGTGATCATAATAGGCCCCACGCCCCGTGTTTCTTAAGCTCTCGGTAACTATAGTTATAAATACAAGATTAAAAAAAAACGTGTATGTCGGGCCCATCGGCGTGCGTTAGTTCACGCAGCGGACGCTGGCGAGATCTAAGTTAGCTTTAGTTGGAATGCAATCCTGCAGTAAAAAATCTGGCGAAGCTTTTCTTTATCGTTTCATCTAATTTAACTGAAATATAAGACTTCATTCGCGTATAGTATCTATAACTGTGTCGTGCATAACTGATATTAGCTAGCTGCCGAGACTGTGTTTCTTGTCTTTGGGTGCGGGATTCTCGTGTAGTTTCCACCAATACGAAGGTCCATCCAACGAGGCGGTTTCATGTGGCTGTGCTGGATTCCGTTTGTCCAGGCCCTCATTTCTCGCGGTAAGGAGATAAACGTTTGTCCTATTGTCCCTCTAAAAATATAGCTACTCTGGTCAAAGTGTGCTGAGCACGGCCGCATAAACTGCATCGACAAATGGGTTTTTCCCATTGTGCGAGACTTTACATGCACTCCACTCCATGATGATTGTTCTTGGAAGATGAAAAGTCCAAAGTTTGCTTCAAATACACGTGGAGCAGTAGAAGGCTGGACTATACTGCCGCCATTTAAATTGAACCATTACTAAGTCGGTCAGTAGATAAATGTAGGTACGTTTCAGGCCTTCAACGTGAGCCTTCTGAAGTTTTTGAAGTATTTCTAGATGCTTATTTTTCTCCGAATAAACTCTCCTCGCAAAACGCATGTGCAGTTACACCCTGGATTAAAAAAATAATATTGAAACATTTGGCACAAGCTCCGAGTAGTCGTTGAACTGGAATTAGCTTTTCTTTATTTCTTTTTATTATCACGCTCAGATAGTAACAGTGTTTTCAGCAAAATCCATTATTTGCACTAAGAAACATGGAATTTCTTGTGGATTCTGAAAAACAAGAAACGGCGCTGTGTAAACATGGCATCTGGAACACGCAGGAAAGTATGGAACATAATAATTGACACAAATCATCTTTTATTTTGATCGTTGAAATATTATATTACGCCATGTCGATACCTTGGAGGCCATGGTAAAATTTTCGAGACAGTTTAGAAATACATGCTTTGTCGATTTCTTTGTTATACGTAGTGCTTTCACGTGCTTCTAAAAAACGTGTGTAATGTCTGCAGTTATGGTGCAGTGAAAAAGCCGGGAAGGGTTTTATTTTGGCTAAGTAGTTTTTAATTTTAAAAGTAAACGAGTATACGCAACTCCTATTACAAGAGTAAGTCAAGTTAAAAAAAAAAAAGTTCTCTTTGCGCATATTGTATTAAAAACAAGTTGTACAGATCTGTAATATTTTTTATTACAGTCTCCTTTCCGCCGAATGCAGGTCTTTTGTAGTTTATGACAAGTGAGTAGATTCCTGCTGATGAGTGTCTTCCGCTTGTGTGCCTAGTCACTCATGCACCGCCTAAGCACCCGTTCATCGGGCCGACAATTTCATCCCATTGCCCCCTCAGTGGTCCAGAAATGTGCAAATCACTTGATGCGAAAACTGACTGACTTCGACAAATACACCTATTTCATCCACAGTCACTCGGCGATCTTTTATTATAATGAATTGAACCGCTGCTGCAATGGGCTTTGGTGTTATACATCGGTGTGCCTTATTCGGACCCCGAGAAAAGTCTAAAAAACCTCACGCTGTTTTGAAACTTTCTAGTCCATTCGTTCATGGAGCGACAGACGAGCGTCACCATACTACTACTTCGCTTGACGATAAATTTCAATATCTTTCACTCTTTCACTGCCTAAAAAAACACGACGAAACGCCGCTCTTCTTTGGAGCATGGCTCAAGTAACGTACGTAGTCATTTTTGCGCTACTACTCTTGACGTAATGATGGGTGTTTGCACTGTGCTGCCACTTGTTGGCCACTCTTAATTATTGGTAAGAATGCTTCCAACCTACTGGGCAATGGCACGATATTTCAAAATGTTATGTAAATAATGTTTTAATTTGACTCACTCCCGTATGAAGGGTGAGTCAAATCACCCATCGCAAGTTCTAAAACCAATAAAAGTCCAGTCTAACTCAAGAATACTATAAGCAGTGTTTACCTGATAAACAACAATCGAATCGTTCCACCGCACCTCTTGATGTAGTCGACGGCCTCCTTCGCTGTGCAACCGAGTAAGCTATAGTCGTTTACCTGAAACATGATAACGCAGCATATTTATAATGTCACGAGTGTGTACTGTTAAGGAAACATTTGCTTTGTTTCCCAAGAAAATAAACGTTGAGAATAAGGTACAAGCACAAGTTATATCTTCCAGCTTTATGTCTGCCGGTTTTGGTATAATTTACTAACACCGTTAGTTTCTTGAAGACTACACTGTCATTCGAAAAACGTTTCGATGACACCGCTTGCACACAGAAGCCATTGATCCTTGAGTATGTGATTGCGGGAAATGCTCACCTCTCAGGACCAAGACGAGCGGATAACTATAGGACTAACTATATTCGCTAAAAAGTTCACTATAATCGGTGACAAGTCAAGAACCCAGCAGATGCTCCGCCTCGAGCACAAGTTCCCAGCAAATGACAACGCTTCACTGTGTACCACTGATAAAACCCGGTACAATTCCAGCCTGCCTTTATAACTTTGAAAAATGTCCACTGCGAGGGATGCACGAACTGACCTGAATGAGAAAGTCGTCCGGGAGGATGCGACCATCTTTGGAAGCCAGGCTGCCCGGATGTACCGCCTTGACGACCGGTGACATTGGGGAGCCATGAGCATGGGGGTTGCAATTCCTCAGGCTAAAACCGAGCTTGGTGTGCCATCCGCGCTGCAGTTGCACACACACGCATTCAACCTGAAAATAACGTGTCGCCGGAATACACACGTTAAAACAAAAAAGTGCCCCGCAGCTCGTTTTGAACACCGGCCACCACTGCATTCCGGAGTTCGCACTGCCATCCTTTTCGAAACACTTCTTTCTATCACGCAAGTTCTGAAAACCGCAGGGGGGCGAGCGCGTGGCTTCGATAAGGATTCAAACTGCAGGAATGAACATCGTGTAACCATATTATTTTCTCTGGCTACGATTATAGCATTTTTTTTTTAATTTTATAACGTCATTTATAACTTGTGAGGGTACCAGCTGACGCACACACGCTTTCAGCATGGTAATGACAACCCAGTATTTTTACCATCCGATCATTTTTGTGTGATCTTTCGTCTGGGTGCGTAGCGCAGTTCGTAGTTACCACTTCAAGCGTTTGAAAAGACGTCACCATAGCCGTCTTTTTTACGTAGTATTCAGCTTTTCCCTTAGTTGCAAGGTTACTGTTTTGAGCGCTTATGTTGTGCAAACTTTCGAAAAGACAACGTGTGATTGTCAGCATAATAACGGCGGGCCTAGTATGTGTTTTTTTCTGCACTACCAAAATTGTCTTTAGCCGAAGTCATTCAGACACAGTAGACAATTGTTCAGTTTTAATTCCAGAGCAAGACAAAAATGTTAGGTCGCGGTCGCACTGTTGTTATATTATACAAAATACAGTCTGCAGAAACTGTTTGCAACCTTTCTTCCTTTTACGACTGGTCTGTCACTTTGGAATTACAAAACATGTCCGCAGCCATGTTTGAAGCAAATATGAAGCAAACATACTTCGAAGTTGCTTCAAGCGTGTCCTTAGATAATTTTGCCATCATGTCTGCAGCGAGCACCGTGATTGATTGATTGATTATTAAGTGTTTAATGGTGTAAAAAACAACACAGGCCACACTGCGCCAAAGAAATGGTTAAAAGACCGCGAACACCATGTATCTACGATGTATCAATGTCGGAGCGGCTTTGGAATTTCATCGGGCGTGCGTTCCTGTTCTCAGAGGCATTTTTACTTCGGGACAACACACTATCGCTTAAAAGGAAAACCAATTTATCATTTTCAGTAACGAACTCGAAGTTATTTATGCGCTTCTTTCACTTCGAAAACGCCATACGAAGTTGTCCCTCAGTGAAGTTGGAGCCTGCACTCGCAATGTGCGAGCGCGAGTGTAGCACTTGACATAATATCCCATCAGAAGAGCGCTCGTGCAGTATTTGTATGTGTTCAAGCCAAAAGCCCCCAAACGAGGAGTTAGAAAACAGTACAAGCGCGAGCACGCTGCATGCAGGCTTGCATCAACTACGCAAAACCGTCAAACAAAAACCTGCCAAAAAGGCGAATGCACATTATGTGAGCACACCGAACAAAAATGACGTCTTTAGATGCTTGCGATATTAGTGACTGCAGCTGGGTAATAAATAATTGTTTCCAGAAAGAACAAAAAAAAAATCACATCTTTGCGTAATAATAAAATTAATTTTTTGGTGATAAGAGCGATCCTACTAGCGCAGTGTTTTCTCACACTAGTAGTATGCCATAGAATTGCTTTCAATCATGTACAAAGTGTCCACAAAAAAAAAAGTACGTTATTTTTTTATTTTGCAACAAATTTTCTACGCATCGCGGAACGCCCAATCTCCGCTATAGCAGTCCGAACGAGATGCCAAGGTTTCAGATGTAATCGTAATCTTATTGAAAATTTAAGAGCGATTTTCTAAAATTGTGAATGGGAAACTAGGTACCTTTCACACTGTAACTGACGCCATTCCGTTCTATGTATTCGTATACTCCGTCGGTCACCATTTTTTCTATTCAAATGTTTAACAAAAATTGTTTATAAATAATCTTTTAATAAGATAATGGTCAGTTTTACATGCTGACATCTTACGTTTGGGAGGAGATTGAGCGTTCGGCGATGCGTAGTTTATAATTTCGGGGAAAGAAACACTTTTTTTTTCGGTATACACGCTGTAGATTCCCATTTTACCATTACACTTTGAGAGGAACAGGAAAACCTGTTAAAAGATCCGTTTTTACCTTAGTTACATGACTTTCTTTTTATCGTGTGGTCTGATGGGTGCCAATAACAAATATACGTGTTGATGCGCTCGCACTCCCTGGCTTCCCTATCCTGTTTATCACTTTTGCAGTCTTCATAAAATCAACGAATCAGAATTACGTAATTACCTCTAAAGGGGAAGCAGAGGTAGACTCGGGGGCTGCTTCTTTCTTCGCGATGTCCTTGCGACCCTCTATGGACTCGTCCGCATCCTCGGAAAGCACTGTGCCTCGCCACTTCGTCAAACCTGGTCCAGCAGGTTCGTCCCCGAACACAACGCCGTTGCAACAACTGCGCACCATGTCACTCGCGTGCCGCTCTAACCAGCATCTCGCAGTCGTGTCCCCTAACAAGTCGTTGCTCTCTTTCGATTTGAACACGTCTACCGACTTGTGGCGCCTGCAGCACTCCGGGCCTCCCGCGTTGCCGCTTGCGTGGGAACAATCGCTACCGGGATCTCGGAAGACTTCAGAGTCCCTGGCCAAACTATCTAACGCACTCAGGTCTGAGACCAGGTGGTCGCTGTCGCTGCTCCCGACATCACTCGTCGTCGATGATGATCCTGGAGGGAACCTTGTCTCCGGAGCGTTGACCTCCTGAAGCCTGAGTGAGCAGGCTGAACCTGACGACTCGAGGTCACTGTGATTATCGTCTTGCTTGTCCTGCTGGTGGAAACTAAGCGGAGCGCAGGTGGATTCCGACATAGCCGTGTCGAGACTTTCCAGGTACTTGGACGAGTCCTCGGAACAGTCTTCGACATTTTCAGTCTTCACGCTGTCCTGTGTGGAAGCATCGAGCTTGAACTTTACAATAACTCGACTTAAATGGCCTGACTTGGATTAGGATGTAAAGGCCTGATCACACAATTTCAGCACAATAGAGCAACAATAACGGTCCCCATTACTTTGAGCATTACTTTGACTTCAAAGCGAGCGATCTGACCCTCGTCCTCGCCAAACGGTGACGCAGCACTTGCATGCCTTAGGTTCTCCGATCGCACGCCCCAAAATATGACGACTTCGAATTATTGTCGTCGCAGGCGCGCACTTTTCAAAAAAACAATATCTGGGTTATAGTGATTAAATTTCATGTAAATGGCATTAGAAGAGAGAAACAAGAAATATTCCGTGTCTTCATTGATTCCTGTAAGCCCTTCCGCGTGATGTGCTTTCAACCAGTGACGTCGCAACGCCTGGCTACATTATAATATGATTATTAGATTACTCGTCTTGTAAATCCAAACCAAGCAGTAGCCTTTTTGTCCATTAGAGTTTTAGCGTACTCTGAGGATCCCACCGCCCAGACCCCGGCTGGACTCTCGATGCTTAAATAACTGTGAAAAGCTTAGCTGCTCCAACAGTGCCGAGTGATGGAAAGAAAATAAACACCTTACAGGCAGTTATTTTGTACAGTCATTTTACTCTTGCAGACAGATATTACTTGTCTTGTAACATGTGATTTCCAATTGAGATTTCGACCGCTTCCACTGGGAATCCTGAGAGCGATAAAACGATGCAAGCAAACAAGACAAGAACGAATTTTGACGACTCGAGCGATCTTCAACAAATTCGCTTGTTCTAAAGTGCGTTTGGTTTATGGCCATAGAGTGGCATTCAAGATTAAAAAAAAAAAAAAAAGATAATTCTATCATTATGTGTTTAACGTGCCTGCTCGCTGTGCTTCCTACCATGAATTAAGTGCACTACAACCTAATTCAAAAGGATTAGCACAAAAACGACGAAGCTGGCTTATCGCTAAAGCGCTTCATGTCTTGTGTAAGAAAAATGTGAGGGCTTTTTAAGTAATAAACCAGTTTCCTGTATGTGCGTATTAAACGCTGTGCGAAACAGCTTGTATGAACGCAACATTCACGCTTTTTGTGAGTTTTATATTGGCGGGTACTGTGTTTACCTCTTAGTTTAATGCCGCAAATGATACCTCCCACCGCAATTGTACTTTATAAAAAGAGAAACAAAAAGAAACTGGTGATTGCTCGTTCCCTCTAACAGTGCGGCACTACACGTATAAGATCTACACACATTCCAATTAGGTAAACAAAAAGTAGGCAAATCAGTTTTACTTACATTCTGTGCTGCATTAGGGTCAACTAAAGGCCTGTAGATGGTGAGTTTCACCAAGCCTGACGTAGCTCGAAGAATTTCGAGTGCTTGCTGAAAATGGAAAAAAAAGGAAGCACGCCCGCCACGGTAAAATATCGTAAATAAAAAAAATGAGAAAACATGCAAGCTTTAAACTTTATTCAGAAACAAAATAACCTAAATGTCTCTCGAATTTTATGTCTCCGTTCTAAGAGTACAAGTAATTTAGCAAAAAAGGCAAATAGGCAAACTTCGCATTTTAATATCAGGAAGACCTTTTATGCTATTCAAAATGCGGCACGAGAAAACAATTACGTCAATGCAAACCATTCATTTTAAATCATTTCTCTAGTGTGTTCCAATGCCGAGAAATAATTACAAATTGTCACCCACATTTGAGACCACGAACCACTCAAGTGTTTCCTTCACGCAAGTTTGCTCAAACGCGAAATGTGCAAGGATTCCACAATTAATTGTTTTATTTATACTCAGTCTGACAGTAGAGGTTTCGCTAAGAGATTCAGCCTGTTCGGAACCAAGCTTCTTAGCAAAACTTAGGTCGCCCATCGAAGCTTCCAGCAGGCGCATCACCAACTTTAACCTAATTTGTTCTTCTGTATTTCTCAAGCGTATGTATACTGCACGGCACTGCTTGCGCGAATACGTCATCGGCCCGTTTTCACATTTTACTTCGAAATGATTGGTGGGCAAGGTATTGCACTTAGTTTAATTTTTTTTTTTTTTTTTTTTAGAAGACAAACAGAACAAAAAGTTTGCAGTTGCTTGTTCGCGTTATGACGTGGAACGCTAAAGTTTAGCGCTCGGGTTCCAACGCGTTCGACGAGTACAGTGGTGACAAAGGCAGCTAGCTAGCTTTAGATCTACCCACTAATCCTTCGAACCAGAGCTCGGCGTTCTGAAGTTCCCGCGCGCTTTCTTCCACTCCCTCACTTTCTCGCCGCATAGTCACAGACGGAATGAGAACGAAACGGCGCGTTTTTCGAACACCCGGCCTCCAGCAGAGGCTTCGTGCCTTCCACTGGGACTGGGCAGCACGGCCGCGCTCGAGGAAAACAAGACGCCGAAGAGTTAATTGTCGAAGAGAGGAGAGTAGAAATCTCGCGCTGGAGGCGGGACAACCGAAGCTTCTCCCTGCCGTTTTCACCTTGTCAGGGACTATTGCGGAATCAAATGTGTTGTGGATAAATTCAATTTCGCATGTTTGCAGCATGGTTCCGAATACGTCCTCGAATATTCTAAGAATAATAATCTTCCCTCTTCCGTGCTTGTGTGGAACACTCAAATATTGGCAGTTGTATTTCGGTCTATCGATCAAATTGTAATGTGTAATCGAGTTTTAAGGCTGGTTAGTTAACGGAGCACCGTTTTCTTACCTTACGTATAAGTCACCGAAACATTCGTGCCTAGATTGTCCAGTGTTCAGCTATTTCCTTGAACTGGTAGCCACGCTTCATATGAAGGCACAGATGTCCAGGTGACTTGTACGCTATCTTTTGTAACGTTTAACGTCAGAAAACGGGGCTGTGTGAACCAGTTCTTACGAGGAACGGAGCGGACACCGACTCCAACCTACACCGTGCTTCAGTCCCCTTTGTTTTTACAAGTTTCTAGCAAATAAATCATCGAACCAAGTATCCGAGAGGAGGGTACGTAACCAAAATTGGTGAATTAAGAATGTAACTAGCTTATAATTTGGGGAATTAATTCAACAAAGAACAGTACGAAAGATCAGTTTTCAAACCGGCAAAAAATCCGTCGTTCAGAAACATTGAAGTAATCGAAAACGTAAAGGTTACTTTTTCGAGCAACGGTCAATTACGTTTCTTTTCTTAAGTAATCACGTACTCTCATTGAATAATCTTAACAAATAGTAACTTTAATTGTAATCGATTACTTTTTTTTAAGTAACTTGTACAAGACAAACGTTCTTCCGGAGAACGAGCGCTCGCGCTGGATATCCAAGTACGTCTCAAATCCAGGAGCGCGGGCAATACTCCGTTCACGCTTAAGCTGAGACTAGAAGCTCCACCTTCAGCGTTAGTTCGCTGGCTTCCGTAGCGCTTTGGTTGCGCGTGCCTGCGTGTTAGCAAGGGTAGAAAAGCTCGCGCTGAAGGCGGAGCTTCTAGTCTCAGCTTAAGGGCAAACGGAGAATAGCTTGCGCTTCTATCCTTCGCTGCAGCCACAGCCAAAGCTACAGTTTCAGCCAAGCAAAGTAGATTTTCAGATCCTCTTTTTACAGAGCAAACTCGACCTATCCGCCCTAAGCATCATAAAAAGCAAATTCTGGCACGCTTCACTTCAGCTTCATGAATGTAATTTTACGCTAAAAATAGAAAGGGCTCCAAAGAAGGCAAGCTGCGACTCACCAGCGGACTTTTCCCGAAAAGCCGCACGCCGTTGACCTTGAGAATGACGTCTCCAATCTGCAGCTGACCACTTAACTGGGCCGGCTGCTGCGGGTACAGCTCGTGAATCCGAACAAAGCAGGAGGCTTTTTCTCCGTTGGAATTTGAGCCGACTCTGAGGATCCCAATGCCCAGACCTCGGCTGGACTTCCGAAGTTCAACTGTAAAGATCCTGGCTGCGCCATCATTGGGGAGTGATGTAAATAAAATGAGCACCTTCCAGGCAGTAATTTAGTACAGCCATTTGAAATTTGCAGGCAGTTATTTAACCTTGCAGCCAGTCATTTGATACAATCACCCAGTACAGTAATTTTGGCCTTGCAGGCAGTCATGAAGAATTATTTTAATCCAGGACAGTAAAGCGTGAAACGCGTGAGAAATTAGCGCATCTCATCGCACTCCTAAGCGGCGCAACCATAGTTACTACCACTGATCTCAATGACAATTGCTGGATCGCGTTTGACCGCTCTGCGAATGCGGCCACTGGCGGCCATTTTTAGGTAGAGTTATATTACCTCTAGCCAAGGTACAGCTCCTGCAGCCACTGTCATCCATCCATGGCAGTCAGCGTTTTGGCAGGTGTGGTGGCAGGCTGCCGTCAAAATAGGGTGGATGATATTTCGTGCTTGATTGAAATTGTTTGACGAAACATGTTTTTGAAACCCAGCGTGAACGGTAGCCCGATCTTTGAGGACCCGGTGAAAGTTTCACTAAATCGCAGCACCGGGGGAAAAGCTGTACAGCTCGCATCGAAAGTCGCATCAAAATTAGCATCGAAAGCAGACGCCGGTACGGAGTTTGCTTTTGATGCGAGCTGCGCTGTTTTCCCCCGGTGCTGCGCTTTCGTAGAACTTTCTCCGGGCCCTCAAAGATGAGGCTACCGTTCACGCCGGGTTTCAAGAATCTGCGTCGTCGAACAACTTTAATCAAGCACGAAATATCTCCCACGGTACAGTGTACTAGATCCACGGCTATTTTATGGCACCCTGCCGCCATTGCGCTGTCCGCCATATTACTATGATGGCTAGAGATGATATAACTCTACCTAAAGATGGCCGCCAGTGACCGCATTCCGGTCCATAGGCGGAGCTGGTCAAACGCGATCCAGCAAATAGACATAGAGATCAGTGGTTACTACTACTGACGCATTGACCTGGTGGCGCGGGAGTCGGCCACGTCAATCGCATCAGCGGCGGTTAGTGTGGTTACGCCGCTCGGCAAGCGGCGCGACTCGATTTTTGCTTAAACACTTTGCACCCTCAAATACATTTCCAAACAAAGCTGCGCTCCGATATGCGCGTCGCGTTGTTCCCTCATGTTCCCACTGTCCATGACAAAACTCAGTTTTACACCAACAAAAAATAAAACTATTTCAATTATGCACATATAATAATATTCTAAATTCGTGTTCCAGAATACTCTGAGTACGTGTCTAAAAATAACGTAATGCGCATTAAAAAGACAAACGGTTCGTGCTTGCAGTGGAATAACACCCTCGTCAGCGTTCTTATTTTATCTCTCTATGTGGTAAATCAATATGCATGTATGCATATTAAAAATCAGTTGCTTGATATTTTAACGCGACAGCGTTAACCCCTTGCCTACTCATTTTTGTTTTCTTCAAGAAACATACAGCAAAACTTAATTTTAGAAAGTCGATTTGCCCCAAATGAGACAAAAACATCTCGTTGATTATCAGGTGTGGTAACTTGCCCCAAATCAGGACTTCTGATCTTCTAGTCATCTTCAGCAGTTCTTCACAGTGTGATAGCGCTGAAAGCGTTCAGTAGGATGGAGTGATGAAAACGATTGTCATCGTTTTCATCCCTCCCTTCAGTGTTCATCCAACTATCTGATTAAAGGTTGCACGAGTGACACGTGTTACTAGTAGGCAATGGGTTAAAAGGATGCTGAACCGAAATTTTGATTTCAGATAACATCGCAGAAACGCTAGGCGGGACGCCACAAACTCGAAAGCATCTCTCGTGAAGCGGTATCTCAACGGATAGTCGTATTTTTGCGAAAGAAGAGCGCACTTAAAAACGGCCGAAAAGGCCCGAAACGTCGTGATTCTCGTTTCCTCCTCTTCTCGCTTTGACTCCACGAGGTCGCGAAGAGGGAGAGAAGCAAGGCCTTTTCCCCTCCTCCTAAACTATTCTGCAGGAAACGCGACGTCGCGATTCTCACTCCATTGCATCCTTATTTTACAAAAATCCATCCGTTCAAGATATCGCTTTATGAGTGAGGTTTTGGGGTTCGTGGCGCCCCGTTGAACACTCCTGCTGCCTTATTTTTGTGAGATCCAAATTTTGATTAAGCACCCCTAACACCCCAAAAATCGCTTTTTTTTGTTTTGTTTTAAACGATGCAAATTTTAGTCATAGAAGCAAAAAAAAATACCGTATCAAAAAAAAAAAAAAAAACGTTTACGGTCGCGCGCGCCTTTTTGTTTTTAGCGTTTTTCTCTCCCGCTCCTTGCCTCCTCGTTTCTTTTGATTTCTGACGTCAAAAATAATGAAATATAGAAGCTCTGTAGGCGACATTTCTACAACATTTAATAACGGCAATTGTGAAACATGTTTTTTAACGCAATTTCTCAGCGGGATAACTTCTTCACCTTTCTAATAAACCAATTTCTCTATCTCTCTTAACGCAATTGCGGACGCACTACGGCCCTTCTTTTTGAAACACCGAAAATCGGAGTCCGATGTGATGTCGCCTCCTGGATTTCTCTCCTCCCTCGGAAAACATGCCGCCTGGGCAGGCGGCACCGCTCGCACGGAATAAAACCGGTTTTTCCCGGTCCGCCGGCGCCCTTATCTCCCGCTCCCCACCTCCTCACTTCGGGTCGCGGTGGCAACCGCGGTTTGGAGCGCGGAGTCGTGAAAGAAAGTCGACTCGCACGACTCCGCAATATTTGGAGTCTTATTTTTTTACTTTGCAAATACTAAATTCCCAAGTTTTGAATTTTGAGGGAAATGTCCCGGCATCGTTTTCAATCGTTTCGGATAATAAAAAAAATATATATAATTTTGATGTGTCAGTGCCTCTTTAAGGAGCTCGTGGCGCGCATGCCACGGTGGCGTGCAAGAAAAGGCGCGCCGGCCTCAGTGCCGTGCCGGAAAAGCCGGCGTGACGCGAAAACTCGATATCGTTTAGAGGGTGATTTCAGATAAGATCGACCAAAGGATGGCTAGTCGACATTTTCAAATCAACTGATGTTTTTATATGTTATTGTCTAGTGTCTGGTATGAACGAATCCAAACTTAGTTTTGACTAGAAAAAATAGTTGGGGACAGGAAAAATCGTAATGCATGAGGTGGTGGACAGTTGCATTAACGCGCACTGATGGAGGGGGCCCGTTTGAGAGCGAATAACTAAAGCGATAACGTTAGGAGAAATCTAATACGTCTTAGGCGCAAACTATGGGTATAGCTTGCTTGTAATATAAAGTAATCATATTTATTTAAAATTTATTTATTTTTCTAAAAATTGACAAACATGCCTGCTCGAACGACAAATGGCAAATTTTGGAGGTCTGTATCTCATGAAATAATTTAATCATTATGATATAATTTGCAGATATTATTCTACTAATATATAGCTAATATTTCAAAAATAACTAAGGTATCTGTGTGATACAATAGTTAGGATATATTTAGTCAAACATGGAAAAAAAAATCAAACAAAAAAAAATTCCGATGCGAATAAAAAAAAAACACCACCCTCGATTTTTTTTTAAATTTAGGTAACCTGTTATACTCTATTTCGGCATTCATTTCCATTAAAAACATGTTGCATCATTTTATTGAGAAAGAAGATACAACTCCCCAAAGTAGGGTCCTTTTTCAAAGCCTACACTTAGCAGTGTTTTATACAAGAACTGACTCTGAGTTCAAGTTTCATGAAACCAACACACATCTTTTATATATTTTTATTCAGATGAGGCCAATGATAACTAAAGAAATCGTTCACACACTTAAATTAAGGAGAAACTATTGTGTACAAAGAGGTATCATATTACGGACTAGTGATCCGAGAAAAGATCATGCAGCCATCGGCCACTAGGAACTTTGTTTACTTTATTCTCCTGCGACACTATATGCTATTCCCTCTTCCGCTCTACCTTCATCTCTCTCTCTCTCTCTCTCATATATATCCCTGATATATATCCAGAACAAAAACATGTTCAAGCATCCCCTTCCTGCGTGGTAGTGTTCTGTGGCTAGCAAAAATCATTTCCTCGCTAAGCTCACGATTATGGCAAAATAGTTGCCGGAAACCGCAGACGACACTCGTCGCTAGTTCTGGCAAAACGGCCGATACAATCTTTTTTTCGCATTTCCCCGCTCGCTGTCAAGGACAAGGGGGTTCGCTTCAACCAGCAAAACATGGCCGCCGACGCCTGTTTACTGAGCAGTCATGCCTGTCGGCATCTCACTCGCTAGCGTCACGGGCGATATCAGGCACAAAGGGGCACACCAACCGGCAGCATTATCCCCAAATACTCGAGCCTCGCGTAAATACATAGAGTGTAAACGCTGTCGCCATGTTATCGTAGTAAGACCGCCCCCCCCCCCCCTCCCCCAACGGGGGACTGCAATACGCGACGGCGTACTAACACAACGGCGACGATATCGACATCGCGGGCTCCGAATTTTCCCATAGTTCTACTCCACGGGCATTTCTCGAAACGCTTGATATTGTGTACGCCCGCCTGGAAGGATTTCAGGCGCGTAGTTAAGATAAGGCGGTTCTCCGCGGCAAAAGAAAGCAATTTCACAAAAGCTTAAAAGCGGCGGCGACGCGTGTGCGGTGAACGCTTGTAGTTTTGGTGTAGACAGGGTGTGTGTGTTCTCGTTGTTGACACCAGCCGGCGATAAGGCACTGCAGGCGGTAGCTCAGTACAGCAAGGGCTAATCCGAGTGACCATCAACGTAACCCCACCGCCAACCCCTCGCGAACCGGTCGCCGACATGGCTCAGGCTGTGTCATCAACCACGTGGTAGAAGCTCGGGTGCTTTCATATCAGCGCGTGGAGGGACGACAGTGCGATTCCGGAAAGTCTTTTTCGAAGGCCGCTGACCACAATTTTTTGTCTGGAGACTTTCCCTCTTTCTTCCTTTGACGTGGATCAAGCTTTGCCGACAGCCTCAGTTGTGACCTCTCTTTTCAA